ACACTGTGTCTCAATACCTGCAGGATGTCTCACTACAGCAGCACACTGTGTCTCAATACCTGCTGCATGTCTCACCTACTGCAGCACACTGTGTCTCAAATACCTGTAGCATGTCTCACCTGGAGCAGCACACTGTGTCTCAAATACCTGTAGCATGTCTCACCTGGAGCAGCACACTGTGTCTCAAATACCTGTAGCATGTCTCACCTAGAGCAGCACACTGTGTCTCAATACCAGTAGCAGGTCTCACCTAGAGCAGCACACTGTGTCTCAAATACCTGTAGCATGTCTCACTACAGCAGCACACTGTGTCTCAATACCAGTAGCAGGTCTCACCTACAGCAGCACACAGTGTCTCAATACCAGTAGCAGGTCTCACCTACAGCAGCACACTGTGTCTCAATACCTGTAGCATGTCTCACCTAGAGCAGCACACTGTGTCTCAATACCTGCCGCATGTCTCACTACAGCAGCACACTGTGTCTCAATACCAGTAGCAGGTCTCACCTAGAGCAGCACACTGTGTCTCAAATACCTGTAGCATGTCTCACTACAGCAGCACACTGTGTCTCAATACCAGTAGCAGGTCTCATCTACAACAGCACACTGTGTCTCAATACCTGTAGCATGTCTCACCTACAGCAGCACACTGTGTCTCAAATACCTGTAGCATGTTTCACCTTCAGCAGGACACTGTGTCTCAATACCTGTAGCATGTCTCACCTACAGCAGCACACTGTGTCTCAAATACCTGTAGCATGTCTCACCTAGAGCAGCACATTGTGTCTCAATACCTGTAGCATGTCTCACCTGGAGCAGCACACTGTGTCTCAAATACCTGTAGCATGTCTCACCTAGAGCAGCACACTGTGTCTCAATACCTGTAGCATGTCTCACCTAGAGCAGCACACTGTGTCTCAAATACCTGTAGCATGTCTCACCTAGAGCAGCACATTGTGTCTCAATACCTGTAGCATGTCTCACCTACAACAGGACACTGTGTCTCAATACCTGCAGCATGTCTCACCTAGAGCAGCACACTTTGTCCCAAATACCTGTAGCATGTCTCACCTAGAGCAGCACATTGTGTCTCAATACCTGTAGCATGTCTCACCTACAGCAGGACACTGTGTCTCAATACCTGTAGCATGTCTCACCTACAGCAGCACACTGTGTCTCAATACCTGTAGCATGTCTCACCTAGAGCAGCACACTGTGTCTCAAATACCTGTAGCATGTTTCACCTACAGCAGGACACTGTGTCTCAATACCTGTAGCATGTCTCACCTACAGCAGCACACTGTGTCTCAAATACCTGTAGCATGTCTCACCTAGAGCAGCACATTGTGTCTCAATACCTGTAGCATGTCTCACCTGGAGCAGCACACTGTGTCTCAAATACCTGTAGCATGTCTCACCTAGAGCAGCACATTGTGTTTCAATACCTGCAGCATGTCTCACCTAGAGCAGCACACTTTGTCCCAAATACCTGTAGCATGTCTCACCTAGAGCAGCACATTGTGTCTCAATACCTGTAGCATGTCTCACCTACAACAGGACACTGTGTCTCAATACCTGCAGCATGTCTCACCTAGAGCAGCACACTTTGTCCCAAATACCTGTAGCATGTTTCACCTACAGCAGGACACTGTGTCTCAATACCTGTAGCAGGTCTCACCTACAACAGCACACTGTGTCTCAATACCTGTAGCATGTCTCACCTAGAGCAGCACACTGTGTCTCAAATACCTGTAGCATGTTTCACCTAGAGCAGGACACTGTGTCTCAATACCTGTAGCATGTCTCACCTACAGCAGCACACTGTGTCTCAAATACCTGTAGCATGTCTCACCTAGAGCAGCACATTGTGTCTCAATACCTGTAGCATGTCTCACCTGGAGCAGCACACTGTGTCTCAAATACCTGTAGCATGTCTCACCTAGAGCAGCACACTGTGTCTCAATACCTGTAGCATGTCTCACCTAGAGCAGCACACTGTGTCTCAAATACCTGTAGCATGTCTCACCTAGAGCAGCACACTGTGTCTCAATACCTCCTGCATGTCTCACCTACTGCAGCACACTGTGTCTCAAATACCTGTAGCATGTCTCACCTGGAGCAGCACACTGTGTCTCAAATACCTGTAGCATGTCTCACCTGGAGCAGCACACTGTGTCTCAAATACCTGTAGCATGTCTCACCTAGAGCAGCACACTGTGTCTCAATACCAGTAGCAGGTCTCACCTAGAGCAGCACACTGTGTCTCAAATACCTGTAGCATGTCTCACTACAGCAGCACACTGTGTCTCAATACCAGTAGCAGGTCTCACCTACAGCAGCACACAGTGTCTCAATACCAGTAGCAGGTCTCACCTACAGCAGCACACTGTGTCTCAATACCTGTAGCATGTCTCACCTAGAGCAGCACACTGTGTCTCAATACCTGCCGCATGTCTCACTACAGCAGCACACTGTGTCTCAATACCAGTAGCAGGTCTCACCTAGAGCAGCACACTGTGTCTCAAATACCTGTAGCATGTCTCACTACAGCAGCACACTGTGTCTCAATACCTGTAGCAGGTCTCACCTACAACAGCACACTGTGTCTCAATACCTGTAGCATGTCTCACCTAGAGCAGCACACTGTGTCTCAAATACCTGTAGCATGTTTCACCTACAGCAGGACACTGTGTCTCAATACCTGTAGCATGTCTCACCTACAGCAGCACACTGTGTCTCAAATACCTGTAGCATGTCTCACCTACAGCAGCACATTGTGTCTCAATACCTGTAGCATGTCTCACCTAGAGCAGCACACTGTGTCTCAAATACCTGTAGCATGTCTCACCTAGAGCAGCACACTGTGTCTCAATACCTGTAGCATGTCTCACCTAGAGCAGCACACTGTGTCTCAAATACCTGTAGCATGTCTCACCTAGAGCAGCACATTGTGTCTCAATACCTGTAGCATGTCTCACCTACAACAGGACACTGTGTCTCAATACCTGCAGCATGTCTCACCTAGAGCAGCACACTTTGTCCCAAATACCTGTAGCATGTCTCACCTAGAGCAGCACATTGTGTCTCAATACCTGTAGCATGTCTCACCTACAACAGGACACTGTGTCTCAATACCTGCAGCATGTCTCACCTAGAGCAGCACACTTTGTCCCAAATACCTGTAGCATGTTTCACCTACAGCAGGACACTGTGTCTCAATACCTGTAGCATGTCTCACCTACAGCAGCACACTGTGTCTCAATACCTGTAGCATGTCTCACCTAGAGCAGCACACTGTGTCTCAAATACCTGTAGCATGTTTCACCTACAGCAGGACACTGTGTCTCAATACCTGTAGCATGTCTCACCTACAGCAGCACACTGTGTCTCAAATACCTGTAGCATGTCTCACCTAGAGCAGCACATTGTGTCTCAATACCTGTAGCATGTCTCACCTGGAGCAGCACACTGTGTCTCAAATACCTGTAGCATGTCTCACCTAGAGCAGCACACTGTGTCTCAATACCTGTAGCATGTCTCACCTAGAGCAGCACACTGTGTCTCAAATACCTGTAGCATGTCTCACCTAGAGCAGCACATTGTGTCTCAATACCTGTAGCATGTCTCACCTACAACAGGACACTGTGTCTCAATACCTGCAGCATGTCTCACCTAGAGCAGCACACTTTGTCCCAAATACCTGTAGCATGTCTCACCTAGAGCAGCACATTGTGTCTCAATACCTGTAGCATGTCTCACCTACAACAGGACACCGTGTCTCAATACCTGTAGCATGTCTCACCTATAGTAGCACACTGTGTCTCAATACCTGTAGCATGTCTCACCTACAGCAGGACACTGTGTCTCAATACCTGTAGCATGTCTCACCTATAGTAGGACACCGTGTCTCAATACCTGTAGCATGTCTCACCTATAGTAGCACACTGTGTCTCAATACCTGTAGCATGTCTCACCTACAGCAGAACACTGTGTCTCAATACCTGCAGCATGTCTCACTACAGCAGCCCACTGTGTCTCAATACCTGTAGCATGTCTCACTACAGCAGCCCACTGTGTCTCAATACCTGTAGCATGTCTCACCTACAGCAGCACACTGTGTCTCAATACCTGTAGCATGTCTCACCTAGAGCAGCACACTGTGTCTCAATACCTGCAGCATGTCTCACTACAGCAGCCCACTGTGTCTCAATACCTGTAGCATGTCTCACTACAGCAGCCCACTGTGTCTCAATACCTGTAGCATGTCTCACTACAGCAGCCCACTGTGTCTCAAATACCTGTAGCATGTCTCACTACAGCAGCCCACTGTGTCTCAATACCTGTAACATGTCTCACCTACAGCAGCACACTGTGTCTCAATACCTGTAGCATGTCTCACCTACTGCAGCACACTGTGTCTCAATACCTGTAGCAGGTCTCACCTAGAGCAGCACACTGTGTCTCAATACCTGTAGCATGTCTCACCTAGAGCAGGACACTGTGTCTCAAATACCTGTAGCATGTCTCACCTAGAGCAGCACACTGTGTCTCAAATACCTGTAGCATGTCTCACCTACAGCAGAACACTGTGTCTCAATACCTGCAGCATGTCTCACCTAGAGCAGCACACTGTGTCTCAATACCTGCAGCATGTCTCACTACAGCAGCCCACTGTGTCTCAATACCTGTAGCATGTCTCACTACAGCAGCCCACTGTGTCTCAATACCTGTAGCATGTCTCACTACAGCAGCCCACTGTGTCTCAAATACCTGTAGCATGTCTCACTACAGCAGCCCACTGTGTCTCAATACCTGTAACATGTCTCACCTACAGCAGCACACTGTGTCTCAATACCTGTAGCATGTCTCACCTACTGCAGCACACTGTGTCTCAATACCTGTAGCAGGTCTCACCTAGAGCAGCACACTGTGTCTCAATACCAGTAGCAGGTCTCACCTAGAGCAGCACACTGTGTCTCAATACCTGTAGCATGTCTCACCTATCTGTTTCTGCTGTAGTCCCTTCTTCACATCATTTGTGGAAGCTGACGGAATGAGGAATCATAACTAGAAGTCAAAAGAAAGAAGTGAAAACATTTCATCCAGTGTTGAAAATAAGATGAAGCCAGACCAATTTTATTTCTTGTTTTACAGATTTTGGTCCTCAGAAAACCTAAAGGCAGGAGGAAAAAATAATAAAATAAAATCACCTGTCAAAGTAATATTCCTTTATATACTAAAAGTGTTTTACGTTTGGCAATTTACATGGGGAAAACAGCGATCTAAAAAAAGAATTTCTTGTAAGTTTAACACTTTTGGCCAATAAACACATTAGGATTTTATTTTTTTGAGCGGGGAAAATTCTTTTTTTTTCCTTATTCTTAGCAGATCTGTAAAACAAGTAATACAATTGGTGTGGCCTAAAGTGACTTTTTATTGCTTTCTCAATCTTCCAAAGGCTGGTTGAAACTAATCAGGTCTTGTTCATGCAGATATGAAACTACAGGGGTTAATTTGGGACTTTTAAAACAGTTCGCTATAGCCGTCAGTTCATTATATCCGTGTTCGTTTTAAAGGTATTTTACTGTAAATGCTCTGATACAATGATTTAGTGAAGGTGCAGCAAACTCTCCACTTTCTATTCAGCCAATCTATGTTAACGATTTTAAATTCTTGGTACAAGCATGTGAGGCAGCAAAACATATCTGATTTCTTGATCTCAATAATGAAAATATACAAGTAGTTTCCAGTGGAAAAAGAATGTGCAGTAATATTGTTGGAGAGTTTACACACACTGACATTTCTGAGCACTGAATGAAAAGAAATTTATACTTTCAAGGTTGTTACTTTCGTAAAAATGTAAATTTAAGTGCCAAAAAGAAGGCGAGCATCTGATTGGCTCAAGGACAGCAGCCTATAACCAATCAAGACATGGACAGGCAAACTAGTGACTGACAGCATGAGCATGGGAGAATGATGACATCCAATCAGCTGGGTCACACAGTATGATAATCTTATTCACATTAGTGAGAACTTATGAGAACCATGAGGGGCCCTGTACCAAGAAGTTTTATTTGCGCTAAGACAATAATGAATCTATAGACAAATGCAGCAGTGGGGTGACTGGGCCTAGAGATCTATTCTGATGCTGGCCCCATTCCACAATACCATCTTACCGTTAAGACAGTCATGAATCTATGCCACTTGCAGCAGTGGGGTGACTGAGCCTGGAGATCTATTCTGATGCTGGCCCCATTCCACAATACCATCTTAGCGCTAAGACAATCATGAATCTATGCCACTTGCAGCAGCGAGATGACTGAGCCTGGAGATCTATTCTGATGCTGGCCCCATTCCACAATACCATCTTAGCGTTAAGACAATCATGAATCTATGCCACTTGCAGCAGTGGGGTGACTGGGCCTAGAGATCTATTCTGATGCTGGCCCCATTCCACAATACCATCTTAGCGTTAAGACAATAATGAATCTATGCCACTTGCAGCAGTGAGATGACTGAGCCTGGAGATCTATTCTGATGCTGGCCCCATTCCACAATACCATCTTAGCGTTAAGACAATCATGAATCTATGCCACTTGCAGCAGTGGGGTGACTGGGCCTGAGATCTATTCTGATGCTGGCCCCATTCCACAATACCATCTTTAGCTTAAGACAATAATGAATCTATGCCACTTGCAGCAGCTGCAGATGACTGAGCCTGGAGATCTATTCTGATGCTGGCCCCATTCCACAATACCATCTTAGCGTTAAGACAATCATGAATCTATGCCACTTGCAGCAGCGAGATGACTGAGCCTGGAGATCTATTCTGATGCTGGCCCCATTCCACAATACCATCTTAGCGTTAAGACAATCATGAATCTATGCCACTTGCAGCAGTGGGGTGACTGGGCCTAGAGATCTATTCTGATGCTGGCCCCATTCCACAATACCATCATCTTAGCTAAGACAATCATGAATCTATGCCACTTGCAGCAGTGGGGTGACTGGGCCTGGAGATCTATTCTGATGCTGGCCCCATTCCACAATACCATCTTAGCGTTAAGACAATCATGAATCTATGCCACTTGCAGCAGCTTAGATGACTGAGCCTGGAGATCTATTCTGATGCTGGCCCCATTCCACAATACCATCTTAGCGTTAAGACAATCATGAATCTATGCCACTTCCAGCAGTGGGGTGACTGGGCCTGGAGATCTATTCTGATGCTGGCCCCATTCCACAATACCATCTTAGCGTTAAGACAATCATGAATCTATGCCACTTGCAGCAGTGGGGTGACTGGGCCTGGAGATCTATTCTGATGCTGGCCCCATTCCACAATACCATCTTATCGCTAAGACAATCATGAATCTATGCCACTTGCAGCAGTGGGGTGACTGGGCCTAGAGATCTATTCTGATGCTGGCCCCATTCCACAATACCATCTTAGCGTTAAGACAATAATGAATCTATGCCACTTGCAGCAGCGAGATGACTGAGCCTGGAGATCTATTCTGATGCTGGCCCCATTCCACAATACCATCTTAGCGTTAAGACAATCATGAATCTATGCCACTTGCAGCAGTGGGGTGACTGGGCCTAGAGATCTATTCTGATGCTGGCCCCATTCCACAATACCATCTTAGCGTTAAGACAATAATGAATCTATGCCACTTGCAGCAGCTTAGATGACTGAGCCTGGAGATCTATTCTGATGCTGGCCCCATTCCACAATACCATCTTAGCGTTAAGACAATCATGAATCAATGCCACTTGCAGCAGCGAGATGACTGAGCCTGGAGATCTATTCTGATGCTGGCCCCATTCCACAATACCATCTTAGCGTTAAGACAATCATGAGTCTATGCCACTTGCAGCAGTGGGGTGACTGGGCCTGGAGATCTATTCTGATGCTGGCCCCATTCCACAATACCATCTTAGCGCTAAGACAATCATGAGTCTATGGCATTGAGGTAACTGCAGGGTTTCAACAATATGACTGCCCATAGCCCAGTGCAGAAAACATTCTATACTGAGCAACTAAACTGTTCATTTGAACTTGCCCATGGCCAAGTAACAAATAGAATTGAATTTCATTTCCTATAAAATCAACATACGTAAAGTTCTGCATTTTTATCTGTTTTTCATTGCGATTTATCAGGGCTTTATTCATGCTTTCTGTTGACACTGTTGCCTGAAGAAAGAGTTCTTTCCCTTGGTGTTCATTTTGCCCCAGATGGGTACATTAAATTGTAGGAAGCTTGACTGGGTTCATTCTTGCATATAATAACTTGCGATAGTAGTTTACAAGCACAATCATGCTAAGCAACATTATCTGGTCTAAATATAGCACCATTGGCAACAAGTCTTGCTATTGAAACGTGTTTGTTTCATCACAGTTTTCAGCAATTGTTACAGTTAGATTATCATAATCTATGTCACAGAGAAGTACTGCTAGTGTCTTCGGCAGCAAAACAGATAGCAGTACCATTAAACGAAATCAGAACAGCCACAATAGTTTGGCATGAAATGCATGTGGACCTGTTTTTTTGTAAATATCTCTACATCCAATGATCCAATCGTTCTCAAACTGTGCAAGTGGATGTTTTGTCAGACAACCTAATCAAATTGTAAATCACCGAGTTTATGCATTTGTATTAAAGAATCTGTCTATGTAGCTGTCAACAAAATAAACAGCAGAACGGAGACTGCTTGCAGAGGGAGGGAGCCAATGACCTGCAACAGCGGCAGTGTTGGGTCATAAAGGTAAATGCACGTGCAGTTCATGATAGTTACCTGTGCACTGCACAGTGATAGACCTTTTCGATAATTCACATTGACTACTTCTAGCTGTCATCATGAAAGCTTATTCAGAGGATGCTAAACGTTTAATTAGAAATGTGTTGAATTTTTTTTAAAAAGAGCAAAACTATAGGTGGTTGTACGCAAGAATACACCAGAAATCGGATCGGCTAAAAACAAAAAGTATGATGACAAAAAACGAGAATATTTGTATAATCAAGTCAGGACCAGACAAGCCAGTGATGCTCATTATGTAAATAATCAAGTCAGGACCAGACAAGCCAGTGATGGTCATTGTGTAAATAATCAAGTCAGGACCAGACAATCCAGTGATGCTCATTATGTAAATAATCAAGTCAGGGCCAGACAAGCCAGTGATGCTCATTATGTAAATAATCAAGTCAGGACCAGACAAGCCAGTGATGTCATTGTGTAAATAATCAAGTCAAGACCAGACAATCCAGTGATGCTCATTATGTAAATAATCAAGTCAAGACCAGACAATCCAGTGATGCTCATTATGTAAATAATCAAGTCAGGGCCAGACAAGCCAGTGATGCTCATTATGTAAATAATCAAGTCAGGGCCAGACAAGCCAGTGATGGCATTGTGTAAATAATCAAGTCAGGACCAGACAAGCCAGTGATGGTCATTGTGTAAATAATCAAGTCAGGACCAGACAAGCCAGTGATGGTCATTGTGTAAATAATCAAGTCAGGACCAGACAAGCCAGTGATGGTCATTGTGTAAATAATCAAGTCAGGACCAGACAAGCCAGTGATGTCATTGTGTAAATAATCAAGTCAGGGCCAGACAAGCCAGTGATGTCATTGTGTAAATAATCAAGTCAGGGCCAGACAAGCCAGTGATGTCATTGTGTAAATAATCAAGTCAGGGCCAGACAAGCCAGTGATGTCATTGTGTAAAAAATCAAGTCAGGGCCAGACAAGCCAGTGATGTCATTGTGTAAATAATCAAGTCAGGACCAGACAAGCCAGTGATGGTCATTGTGTAAATAATCAAGTCAGGACCAGACAAGCCAGTGATGTCATTGTGTAAATAATCAAGTCAGGACCAGACAAGCCAGTGATGTCATTGTGTAAATAATCAAGTCAGGGCCAGACAAGCCATTTATGTCATTGTGTAAATAATCAAGTCAGGACCAGACAAGCCAGTGATGTCATTGTGTAAATAATCAAGTCAGGGCCAGACAAGCCAGTGATGGTCATCATGAGTATCGATCCTCACATGTGGTGACATGTGATCAACCAACAACCTGATTCATCTCGACGCCTTTAATGAAAAGCAAAGGACAATTCTAGCATGGATTCCCAACCCACAGGGAGCACTTCAACACAAATATTTTAAACATTTTAATACATGTCCAGTTTTGTTAAAGCTGCATTTTGTTGAGTTTAGTTTGACAAGTACTTATGGCCATTGTAGCATGTGAATTGGTTTGTGGTACAGGTTCATACGGCAGGTTCGCTGGAAAACCGATGCTATACATACCCTGCAGTTGTTACACCAGCTCTCCTGGACATCAGCTTGGCCTTTATGCAGTGAGTGATGCCTTTACCCCTTGGCCTGCAGCAGATGCAATCTACCAAAACGATGATGATGATCACTATCAGAAGGACAATGATAACAATGGCCCATGTAGGAACTGGGGGATCTGGACCTGGACCTGAAAAAAATGAAATGTATATTTTTGTTGATGGATGGGTTACTGAAGATCAATTCTATCCCGGATCTTTACAGACAGCACTCTCTAGTGCTCTGGATCTCAGGCTGATCCTTAGACATATGTGAGACCGTAAGGACGCGATTTGACTAAAATTACAGTAAGCTCTGTGTACATGACCAAAAAGCTGTTGTGAAACAATAAGAAAAGATTCCTTCAAGCTCCTGTAAACTGCCCCCATCTCTGTGGGACAACTGATACAGGGGGGATAACGACAAACTCTGGGTTGTGCTGATGGTTACCCCCCCTACCCCTCTCACCACCACCACCCCACCCCCTTCACTGAGTCAAACATACAGTTGTCTTGAGGTGAAAGCTTGGCCCATTTGTAACTGCCTGCCTGTTGTATGCATGTTCTTACCACGATAAGAAACATTAAATTCATCCATGAAAAGCGATCCATCTAGTGAGTGAGTGAGTTTAGTTTTACGCCGCTTTTAGGAACATTCCAGCAATATCTCGATGGGGCACAGAAATGGCCTTCACATGTGGGGAATCAAACTAGGTCTTCAGAGTGACGACATGAACACTTTAACCACTAGGCTACCCCACTGCCCGGATACAGCCCTAATGCCTACACTTAGCTACTTACATATTTTGGTCTTCTTATTGTAGGGTGTGTAACACTGGGCGGCTGGCCCGGTGACACTGCATTCCAGTTCCCCACCTGTAGGGACGTCAGCAAGTTCTACCTCATCATTTTCTTTGTACTGGTCAGATGTGAAACTGAAGCTGTTGTCAGCCACCTCAAAAAATTAAAACAGTATCTGAACAATCAGACTCACACATAAAGGTCTGGCTAAACACAGTAACGGCATCTGAACAATCAGACTCAAACATAGAGGAGTGGCTAAACACAGTAACGGCATCTGAACAATCAGACTCACACATAGAGGTGTGGCTAAACACAGTAACGGCATCTGAACAATCAGACTCACACATAGAGGTGTGGCTAAACACAGCAACGGCATCTGAACAATCAGACTCACACATAGAGGTGTGGCTAAACACATTAACGGCATCTGAACAATCAGACTCACACATAGAGGTGTGGCTAAACACAGTAACGGCATCTGAACAATCAGACTCACACATAGAGGTGTGGTTAAACACATTAACGGCATCTGAACAATCAGACTCACACATAGAGGAGTGGCTAAACACAGTAACGGCATCTGAACAATCAGACTCACACATAGAGGTGTGGCTAAACACAGTACTGGCATCTGAACAATCAGACTCACACATAGAGGTGTGGCTAAACACAGCAACGGCATCTGAACAATCAGACTCACACATAGAGGTGTGGCTAAACACATTAACGGCATCTGAACAATCAGACTCACACATAGAGGTGTGGCTAAACACAGTAACGGCATCTGAACAATCAGACTCACACATAGAGGTGTGGCTAAACACAGTAACGGCATCTGAACAATCACACGCACACATTGAGGAGTGTCTAAACACAGTAACGGCATCTGAACAATCAGACTCACACATAGAGGTGTGGCTAAACACAGCAACGGCATCTGAACAATCAGACTCACACATAGAGGTGTGGCTAAACACAGTAACGGCATCTGAACAATCAGACTCACACATAGAGGTGTGGCTAAACACAGCAACGGCATCTGAACAATCAGACTCACACATAGAGGTGTGGCTAAACACAGTAACGGCATCTGAACAATCACACGCACACATAGAGGAGTGTCTAAACACAGTAACGGCATCTGAACAATTAGACTCACACATAGGGAGGGGTAAGTGCATGGAGTATACAGATGAGATCAAGGGAGGGATTAGTGCACAGAGTATACAGATGAGATCAAGGGAGGGGTTAGTGCACAGAGTATACAAATGAGATCAAGGGAGGGATTAGTGCACAGAGTATACAGATGAGATCAAGGGAGGGGTTAGTGCACAGAGTATACAGATGAGATCAAGGGAGGGGTTAGTGCATAGAGTATACAGATGAGATCAAGGGAGGGGTTAGTGCATAGAGTATACAGATGAGATCAAGGGAGGGGTTAGTGCATAGAGTATACAGATGAGATCAAGGGAGGGGTTAGTGCATAGAGTATACAGATGAGATCAAGGGAGGGGTAAGTGCACAGAGTATACAGATGAGATCAAGGGAGGGGTTAGTGCACAGAGTATACAGATGAGATCAAGGGAGGGGTTAGTGCATAGAGTATACAGATGAGATCAAGGGAGGGGTTAGTGCATAGAGTATACAGATGAGATCAAGGGAGGGGTTAGTGTATAGAGTATACAGATGAGATCAAGGGAGGGATTAGTGCACAGAGTATACAGATGAGATCAAGGGAGGGGTAAGTGCACAGAGTATACAGATGAGATCAAGGGAGGGGTAAGTGCACAGAGTATACAGATGAGATCAAGGGAGGGGTAAGTGCACAGAGTATACAGATGAGATCAAGGGAGGGGTTAGTGCACAGAGTATACAGATGAGATCAAGGGAGAGGTTAATCTGTTGTTTACTGTCTTGTGTCAAGGAAATTTGGGATCAGCTAAAAGTTGTTTTAGTTTCATGATGAAAGATAAATCTCTAGTGAGTAGAACAATTTTACAAATTGGATAGTGTGTAGGTTGTTAAATGTTGAAATTAAGTTGTTTTAGTGCCATGATGAAAGATACACAGTAATATTTAGACCCTAGTCTTAGGACCCCTAATGTTCATAATATATATTAATGATATTGTAGATGATATTGTTAGTAATATTAGACAACACGTCTCTATACGTTATAATTGATGATCCTGACATAGCTGCAGACTGTTTAAATAATGACTTATTAGGAATTTCAAATTGGGCCAAAGAATGGAAGGTTTCATTCAATCCTAACAAAACAAAATCAATACAGTTCAGTAGAAAACTAAATAGAAGCATTAAACCTGATCTTACAATGAACGGTGTGATAATCAAGACGTAGATGATCATAAGCATCTTGACCCTTCAAAATAACTGTTACTGGGATATTCACATAGGGATAAACTCTATGAAAAGAAAGTTAGCCCACTGATTAAATGCTCAAGAAGTTTGTATTATCGATTATCGCGTAAATGTTTAGAAATTATCTACAAATCTTTCATCTCACCGACCACATATGCCAGATCATTTCTACCCGATACAATAAAACTGTGGAAATCCCTAAGTTCTGAAATTCAAAATATTGATACTTTATCCCGATTCAAAAACTCGATATTAAGACAATATAACAAAACTATTATTTTTGATCTAAACTTATTTGATTTGAATGCTGATAGGTTTGATAGACATCATCGACAGCCCCTCGTGGTCATGTGGACATCCAGTCGAAAATGATGTGCATTATTTCTTTACATGCAATAAGTACACGGAATTAAGACAAAATCATATTTCTATTTAAAGGGGTTTAGTATCAACACTGTACTATGGGTATCAACACTGTACTATGTACATTGAATGTTGTTATGTCTCTTAAGTGGATTAGTCCATTGTATGGAATAGGTAACAGGCAGGGGGTTAACAGTGCAACAGACCGTAAACTATGTTGTTATAAGCTGTAGGGGTAGTGGCATGTAGGGGTAATGGGGGGTTACCGGTCCAACACATCTAAACAATCAGATTCAAACATGGGGGAGTGGTCCAACACATCCAAACAATCAGATTCAAACATGGGGGAGTGGTCCAACACATCTAAACAATCAGACTCGCACAAAGGGGAGTGGTCCAACACATCTAAACAATCAGATTCAAACATGGGGGAGTGGTCCAACACATCCAAACAATCAGATTCAAACATGGGGGAGTGGTCCAACACATCTTAACAATCAGACTCGCACATAGGGGAGTGGTCCATCACAAGAAAAGCATATTTGACTCTTTGATAAATATGTATATTTGAAAGACATAATTTGTCTCACGCTGATAGTAATGTTGCCATTTGGATCCTCTTGAAAACCTTCACATAATGTTTGCGGACGGTAAGTTTTCGGGATATTGATGCAGTCTGAGCCAGGCGATGGAGGTGCAGGAGTTGGGGACTTTCTTACATCTGAAATTAGGAAAAATCAAACTGAACAATGAACATTTCCTGAAATATATTCACAGCTATAAGTAACACTAAACACACACACACCTTAGTCTCTGTTACTACCTAGAGGCTAAAGGAAGTTAAGTCACCATGTCATGTGATCTTAGAGTGAGTGAGTAAGATATCATGCTGCGTGTAGCAATATTCCAGCAATATCACAGCAGGGCAATCCAGAAATGGGCTTCACACATTGTACCCAAGTCGGGATTTGAACTGAGATATTTGGCGTGACCATCAACTGCTTTAACTACTAGGCTACCCAGCCACCTTGTGACTCTAGACGGTAACACCTCCACAATCATCTCTGACACTAAAAGAATTCTGTTATAAATCTGTTCCGTTTTGTGTGATTCCTGTCACAATTCTGGTCTAATGGGAATCATGTAATAGAGATGAAAGTTTTGTAAGAATAAAGTTATCCATGAGAACATTACCATATCCTTCGATGCGACAAGTCTTCAAGAGTGGGTTTGTTCCATCACGACAATTCCACGTTCCCACATCCTTTCCAATCAGACTCTTTATACGCATAATGTGTTTGTCATCTGAGCGAAACACCACCCCATAACCTGGAGTATTAACATAGCATTCATCTTTATTCTTCAGGCATGTTACAACTTCAATATTATCTGGCCGCGAAAACCCGATAGACCCGTATTGGCCAGTTATGTCACAGGTGATGTTGACTGGTCGTCCAAAGCAGCCTACTTCAGGGCATGATGTACTGGTTTCTGCTGCATCTGTTGAGAAAAAGCAAGCATTCTGTTACCATGGCTACCAGTGTTTGAAACCAAACCATTGTCGTAATCTGAACTTTTAGAGTTCGGGATGTTGGACAGTTGGAGCACAACAATTATTAAACACAGGACAGCTGGAACACTACTCAGGTTTCACGTTGGACAGTTGGAACACCACTATAATTAAATGTTGGACTGTTGGAACACCACTATGGTTAAACGTTGGACAGTTGGAACACCACTATGGTTAAATGTTGTACAGTTGGAACACCACTATGGTTAAATGTTGGACAGTTGGAACACCACTATGGTTAAATGTTGGACAGTTGGAACACCACTAGGGTTAAATATAGGACAGTTGGAACAACACTATGGTTAAACGTTGGACAGTTGGAACACCACTATGGTTAAATATTGGATAGTTGGAAAACAACTATGGTTAAATAAAGGACAGTTGGAACACCACTATGGTTAAATATAGGACACTTGAAACACCACTAGTGTTAAATGTTGGACAATTGGAACACCACTATGGTTAAATATAGGACAGTTGGAACAACACTATGGTTAAATGTTGGACAGTTGGAACACCACTATGTTGAAATATAGGACAGTTGGAAGAGCACTATGGTTAAATATAAGACAGTTGGAACACCACTATGGTTAAATATAGGACAGTTGGAACACCACTATGGTTCAATATAGGACACTTGGAACACCACGATGGTTAAACGTTGGACAGTTGGAACACCACTATAATTAAATGTTGGACTGTTGGAACACCACTATGGTTAAACGTTGGACAGTTGGAACACCACTATGGTTAAATGTTGTACAGTTGGAACACCACTATGGTTAAATGTTGGACAGTTGGAACACCACTATGGTTAAATGTTGGACAGTTGGAACACCACTAGGGTTAAATATAGGACAGTTGGAACAACACTATGGTTAAATGTTGGACAGTTGGAACAACACTATGGTTAAACGTTGGACAGTTGGAACACCACTATGGTTAAATATTGGATAGTTGGAAACCACTATGGTTAAATAAAGGATAGTTGGAACACCACTATGGTTAAATATAGGACTATGGTTAAATGGACAGTTGGAACACCACTATAGTTAAATGTTGGACAGTTGGAACACCACTATGGTTAAATATGGACAGTTGGAACACCACTAGTGTTAAATATTGGACAGTTGGAACACCACTATAGTTAAATATGGACATTTGGAACACCACTAAGGTTAAATGTTGGACAGTTGGAACACCACCATGGTTAAATATTGGACAGTTGGAACACCACTATAGTTCAATATAGGACTATAGTTGAATATAACACAGGTTGGAACACCACTATGGTTAAATATAGGACAGTTGGAACACCACTATGGTTAAATATAGGACAGTTGGAACACCACTAAGGTTAAATATAGGACAGTTGGAACACCACTATGGTTAAATGTTGGACATTTGGAACAAGACTATGGTTAAAGTTGGAAACACCACTATAGTTCAATATAGGACAGTTGGAACACCACTATGGTTAAATATAGGACAGTTGGAACACCACTATGGTTAAATATAAGACAGTTGGAACCACTATAGTTCAATATAGGACAGTGGAACACCAATGGTTAAATATAGGACAGTTGGAACACCACTATGGTTAAATGTTGGACAGTTGGAACACCACTATGGTTAAATATAGGACAGTTGGAACACCACTAGTGTTAAATGTTGGACAATTGGAACACCACCATGGTTAAATAAATAGGACAGTTGGAACAACACTATGGTTAAATATAGGACAGTTGGAACACACTATGGTTAAATGTTGTTGGAAACCATAGGTTGAAAGTTGGAAGTTGGAAGAGCACTATGGTTAAATATAAGACAGTTGGAACACCACTATGGTTAAATATAGGACAGTTGGAACACCACTATGGTTCAATATAGGACACTTGGAACACCACGATGGTTAAACGTTGGACAGTTGGAACACCACTATGGTTAAATATTGGATAGTTGGAACACAACTATGGTTAAATATTGGATAGTTGGAACACCACTATGGTTAAATATAGGACACTTGGAACACCACTATGGTTAAATATAAGACAGTTGGAACACCACTATAGTTCAATATAGGAGAGTTGGAACACCACTATGGTTAAATATAGGACAGTTGGAACACCACTATGGTTCAATATAGGACACTTGGAACACAATGATGGTTAAACGTTGGACAGTTGGAACACCACTATGGTTAAATATTGGATAGTTGGAACACCACTATGGTTAAATGTTGAACAGTTGGAACACCACTATGGTTAAATATAGGACACTTGAAACACCACTAGTGTTAAATGTTGGACAGTTGGAACACCACTATAGTTAAATGTTGGACATTTGGAACACCACTAAGGTTAAATGTTGGACAGTTGGAACACCACCATGTTGAAATATAGGACAGTTGGAACACCACTATAGTTCAATATAGGACAGTTGGAACACCACTATGGTTAAATATAGGACAGTTGGAACACCACTATGGTTAAATAGGAAGACAGTTGGAACACCACTATAGTTCAATATAGGACAGTTGGAACAACACTATGGTTAAATGTTGGACAGTTGGAACACCACTATGGTGAAATGTTGGACAGTTGGAACACCACTATGGTTAAATATAGGACAGTTGGAACACCACTAGTGTTAAATGTTGGAGAATTGGAACACCACTATGGTTAAATATAGGACAGTTGGAACACCACTATGGTTAAATGTTGGACAGTTGGAACAACACTATGGTTAAATATAGGACAGTTGGAAGAGCACTATGGTTAAATATAAGACAGTTGGAACACCACTATGGTTAAATATAGGACAGTTGGAACACCACTATGGTTAAATATAGGACAGTTGGAACAACACTATGGTTAAATATAGGACACTTGGAACACCACGATGGTTAAACGTTGGACAGTTGGAATACCACTATGGTTAAATATTGGGTAGTTGGAACACCACTATGGTTAAATATAGGACACTTGGAACACCACTATGGTTAAATACAGGATAGTTGGAAGAGCACTATAGTTGACTATAACACGGTTGGAACACCACTATAGTTCAATATAGGACAGTTGGAACACCACTATGGTTAAATATAGGACACTTGGAACACCACTATGGTTAAATATAGGACAGTTGGATCACCACTATGGTTAAATGTTGGACAGTTGGAACACCACTATGGTTAAATATAGGACACTTGGAACACCACTATGGTTAAATGTTGGACAGTTGGAACACCACTACAGTTAAATGTTGGACATTTGGAACACCACTAAGGTTAAATGTTGGACAGTTGGAACACCACCATGGTTAAATATTGGACAGTTGGAACACCACTAAGGTTAAATGTTAGACAGTTGGAACACCACTGGATTTATGCATCAGACATTTGAAACACCACTTTAGTTTAAAGTTGGATTTGCTGGATGAATGCAGATAGTGAAAGGGCAATTCGGAGCCAGGCAATCCTGGGACTGTTGTTCGGAACAGCAATACACACTGCAGGGTTTGCTGACAGACAATCAACATTCACTGAACCTGAATTCTGTGATACAAAGCCTGTCTCACAGTCCTGAACTGCATTATTTCCCCTTCAGCCCAGTTCATTCTGCAATGCTAATTCCCTAAATGAATTAAGTCTAGATTTCCTCAGGTTCAGGATGACTCTCATATCTCATTGGGGCTCTTATTCAATTTAATTAAAATAAAATTCTATATATTCAGTGACTAAGCATTAGTCTATGTAATATATTCAGTTGCCTCAATGGTGATTGAGAGAATAGAAGATAAACAGACTTGTTTTATTTCTTTTCATATTTGTTTTTTTCTTTAAGACCCACTTACATTCTGAACATCTTTAGAATTCCATGAGGGGTCAACACGGTCAATATCAGAAAACAATGATCCATGGAATCCAGCTCCTGAGGGGTCTGACCACAACAAGCTGTAGGACAAGGTCCAGTCAGATGTCAATTAGTGAGTTGAGTTTTACGTGGCACTCAGAAATATTCCAGCTATATGGCGACGGTCTGTAAATAATCAAGTCTGGAACCGATAATCAAGTGATCAACAGCATGAGCATCAATCTACGCAATTGGAATACGACTACATTTGTCAACAACGTCAGCGAGCATGACCACCCAATCCATGATGTCAGCTCAGCTCATGAGTATAAATGTAGTTTTTTCTAAATAATTCATCAACATTTTGTAATTAATTAATTCTAAATAAAGGAAGGGCTGTGAAAGCATTATTTGTGATGTTACCATCTGTTGTGAATAATCTGATGCAGTGCACGGTTGTATGAATATATTTTGGGAGTATTTTACAAACACCGGAGTCAAATACGCAGGAATTGTGTTGATCCATGAGTATCACAGGGTTTTCGACGATGTAAGACAAAACGTAATTTTTATCTTTGATATCATTTAAAGTTTTTATTTTACTAACCCTGAGTGATAAAGGATATATTCATCTATTTCACAAAAATATCAAGTGTTTCCTACAAAAATAGTGTTGATGACATTGTATCGGCGAAACTTTTGCCGCTCTCCAAATCCGTGTATTTGTATGGCTTTTCGACGATGTACCATGCTTTTCCCTCCGCACTGCAAGGGTGTGTTGTGATCTGAATTTTCGCTTGCTATTATTTTCGTCTATAGGCAATTGATTTTGCATCTGAAGTGGTAATAGGGTTAGAATGAACCTGCAGTAACCCATGCTTGTCGTAAGAGGCGACTAACGGTATCGGGTGGTCAGGCTCACTGGCTTGGTTGACACTTGTCATTAGTCCCCACTTGCGCAGATCAATGCTCATGCTGTTGATCACTAGATTGTCTTGTGTAGACTTGATGATTTACTTCGGCGTGACTCACTGAAGTGGTATTAACGAGCTGGGGCAAATAATATTGATGTTTGTTTGCTGTTTATATAAGATAACTTCAGGATTTCCATTGTCAATAAAACTTCTCACGACAGAGACTGGGCATTCGCCCTACCTGTGATACTGCTTGTGCACTCCGATCATACACTTACTCCCCCCATATTGCGCGCAATGCAATCGTCGAAATCACCAGAACGTCAAATTCAGCTCGTCTTGGGATATATTTACCTGCTGTACCCAAAGAGACTGATACTGCTTGTGCACTCCGATCGTGCACTTACTCCCCATATTGCGGGCAATGCAATCGTCGAAATCACCAGAACGTCAAATTCAGCTCGTCTTGGGATATATTTACCTGCTGTACCCAAAGAGACTGATACTGCTTGTGCACTCCGATCGTGCACTTACTCCCCCCATATTGCGGGCAATGCAATCGTCGAAATCACCAGAACGTCAAATTCAGCTCTTCTTGGGATATATTTACCGGCTGTACCCAAAGAGACTAATACGCCCAAAACATATTTCCAACTGTGGCTGGAGTGAAGCTGAGACTGTGAAGTCTCTTAAAATGATACAGCTATAATTGTGGGTGAATTAACAGATAGCAGCATTGTGCTGACAACCACAGATCAGATTCAGGTTGAATCTTGGATTTGTACCACCAGTCAATGCATCCTGGTGACTACCGGGAGGGAACTGAACAGAGCGTGTGTGAGTGAGTTTAGTTTTATGTCACTTTTAGCAATATTTCAGCAATATCACGGCAGGGGACAAATGAAATGAGCTTCACACATTGTACTCATGAGGGGAATTGAACCCGGGTCAACGTGACGAGCGACCACTTCAACCATTTGTCTACCCCACTGCCCTGAATTGATCAGAGAACCCCTCATGACCCTAGATTCTTACCACTGACAAAGATGGCGCCGAAGTTGACCAGCAGAAAGAGAGTAACGTGTCTCTGTGACGCCTTCATCAGGTCACTGTTATCTGTAAACATCAACAGATATCAGTTTAAGATTTAAATGAACATTACAATGTCAGCAAAACAAAGTACCGGGTAATACTTGTCACAAAAGTGAAGCTTCCTTTCTGCTTATAAATTAGGAATGGAAACAAATAATTCACATGACATGTCAGCATGATGATTGAATTGAACTGCATGTTACAAACTTAACTGACATTTTACTGTGACATGACAGGGTGAGGTGAGGTGAAATTAGGTTTAACGTAGTGCTTGAGAATATTTCGCTCATATGACGACGGGCATGCCTGTGTATGTGTATGTGTATGTGCGGCTGCTTGTACTAGCCCAGACTGAAGCTGGTTTTATAGTGCTAGCCCACTGAGATACCATGCCGCAGTGAAGCATGAATACCCCACTCAGACACATTATACTGACTCCCGAGCCGACCAGTCCTTGTTGTACCCATTAATGCCGAGCGCCATGCAGGGACCAACAAGTACCATATTTTAACGTCTTTTGGTATGACGCGTTCGGGGATAGAACCCGCAACCTTCCGCTCTCCGTGCGGACGCTCTAACCACTACACCACGGAGGCGGTCCTGACATGACAAGAAAATGTAAGAAAATCGGTGGTTCTTTCTGTCAAAGTTACATATTTTCAGAAACTGAGTGTTAATCGAGAGCAGGATGTTCCTTACTTCCCTGTCCATCTCGGCCATGGACAGGGTCTGCTGACTTTGTGTAACTGAACCAAGAAGGTCTGTTGTAACTCGTGTTACGCATTTCGCGGTATTACTCGATATCCCGCAAGTGTCACACCATCATAGCCGTGGTACTCGGTGGCGTTTTGTCCCAGTAGCACGATTCATCTCGGCCATGGAGATACTCATATTCATTCATACTGTCACATAGCCTAATGAAATTGATCATGGAATGATACTGAAATCTGTGTATTGTAACATATAATATGGAATATCATGCGAACGACCGACGTGCAGGTGCTGTAACACCAGAACAGCCAACAACAAAACACAATAATTGTAGCGTACCGCCTTTTTCTGATCCAGTTAGCGAGATGTGTTTTCGGTTTCGATGGGTTCCGGATGTTTATGAAGCTCCTCGTAGCGATAGGCTCTCTTTACACACACTGCCATGGAGTTGATATAAAATCCGGACGGCGCTCATGTACGTATTCAGCATCTGATCATACAAAGACGTATTTTGTATACATGCGGGAAAGAGTGACACGGTCGTTCATCTGTTGTTGGACAGTCTTTAGAATCCCTCACCAAATAAGCGCACGTGAAATCAAACATATGTGTACCTTTCTGTTTCAGAATATTGTTGCAATTTCCTTAACTGTGACGTTGCAATATTGTTGTACAAATGTATTACACCGACTCCCTCGGCTGTGGTCCGCGACAGAGGTCGTACTTTCCTAATATATTGTTATGGTTTTGTAAGGCTTCAGTGCAGTGTTGTTTAGATTACCGAAATAAAGAGATTCCTTTTATACTGTCATTTTTCATCTTGAGGAATACTGTCATTTTTTTATTATTTTTGTTTTGGGGGTTGGGGGTGGGGGGTGTTGTTGTAAAGAGGGGCTTGCCTGGGTTTAGGGTTAGGGGTTAGGGTTAGCTGTAAGGCTTCAGTGCAGTGTTGTTTACATTACGGAAATATAGAGATTCTTTTTATATTTTGAGGCATACTGTAATTTATATTTTTTAAGGGAGGTTTAGGGGAACTTAACCCCCTTCAAAAGGAGCCAAAGGAAATTTACAATTATTGTGGGTGGGGAAAGGGATTTTTCTTCTTCTTTTCTTTTTTTTGTATTTCTGTCTTTTCATCCTTACTAACATTGGATAGAGGACACCGGCGTGCTACCTCCTTGAGAACAAGACCAAATCAATATCAAGCATCCCAGCATGCTAAGGGACCGTTCATATTTTATGGCTAGGGGTGTGATGATGATTTAAAGGAGGGGGGTGTTCTCACCCATTTTGTTCTAGGGGAGCTAGTGGGGTAAGCAATTTTGTACATAAAAATATGTTTAAAATTATGCTTAAAAAGTATGGAATGGGGAGGGGGGTCATTGATTTTGTAAATAACATGCATGGGGGTCACATATTTTGTACACATAATTTAGGGGTGGGTCATTCTATTTGTACATGCTTCTCCATAAAAATCATCATCATCACCACACACTCTCTCTCTCACACACACACACACACTCACACTCTCTCACACACACACACTCTCTCTCACACACACACACTCACACTCTCTCTCACACACACTCACACTCTCTCACACACACTCTCTCACACACACACTCACAGTCACACACACACTCTCTCACACACACACTCACAGTCACACTCTCACTCACACACACTCTCTCTCACACACACACACTCTCTCTCTCTCTCACACACACTCTCTCTCACTCACACACACACACTCACACACACACACACACACTCACAGTCACACTCTCACACACTCTCACACACACACACACACACACACACTCTCTCTCTCTCTCTCTCTCTCTCTCTCACACACACACACACCCTAGCCATAAATTATGAACGGTCCCTAATATACAGTATATTACTATTAGCAAACCAACTTCCAGCTCGAAACACATGGCAAATATGACCCTACGTTTTGAACCCTTGCTTACCGAGACCCCAGTAGCTCAATCGGTAGAGATTGGGACTTCAAATTCGATTATCGTGGGTCCGAAACCCCGCTCTGGATTTGCAAAAGTTTCTTCAATGAAGGAGCGTGATGGTCACGTGACATGTGTATGTTACTTTCTTACAAATCAGGGTTAGGGATGTATCTGTTTGTTCTCATACCTGCCATTACCTGTTGTTTGTTCTCATACCTGCCATTACCTGTTGTTTGTTCTCATACCTGCCATTACCTGTTGTTTGTTCTCATACCTGCCATTACCTGTTGTTTGTTCTCATACCTGCCATTACCTGTTGTTTGTTCTCATACCTGCCATTACCTGTTGTTTGTTCTCATACCTGCCATTACCTTTTTTTTTTGTCAGCTGTTCCATAACAAAAAGTGTACGTGACGTCATGTCAAGTTGGACACGTCAGCTCAGTGAGTGAGTGAGTTTAGCTTTACGCCGCACTCAGCAATATTCCAGCCATATGGCGGCGTTCTGTAAATAATCGAGTCTGGACCAGACAATCCAGTGATCAACAGCCTGAGCATTGATGTACCCCATCGGGATACGGTGACATGTTTCAACAAAGTCAGCAAGTCAGACTATCCGATTATTCGCCTCTTACGAGAAGCATAGGTTGCTGAAGACAGATTCTAACCCGCATCTTCACGGGTACTTGCCAGCAAGGGAATGTGGATGTGTAATATAATGGATGTGATGTTATCAATAAAACCACATACATGAAAATATGTTTCATTTTACTCTCCTATATACTGTGTACCAGATGTTATGTGGCAGCGCTATTTATTATGTAACAAGTGCAATGTTGTTTTTTATAGTCTGTTTGCAGTGAAAACGTACCGATGAATTTCACTTTAAACAGAAAAGTAAATCGAATAAAGTGAAATTCAGATTGCGAACCTTTATAATTTTACCTTGCCAATTGAACATTTAAATCTCAGAATTTTATTCAATCATAGTTTCAAATCGCTATTATTGGTTTGTATTACAGGGGGGTATGCACATTAAATGAAACACCGAGAACAAATAGAGTTGGTCTGAGTTAACGCTCATCAGGTACCGCACGTGCATTTGTTTCACAGTTCCAACAACTGCGCTTATCCCCCTTGTTATACAAACCAATAATAGCGATTCGAATCTATGATCGTTTGTTAAACAACTTCATAGGCGGATCCAGATGGAGGGTGCAGGGGTGCGCGCACACGCACACGCGCACACACACGCACGCACGCACGCACGCACACACACACACCACACACACACCACACACACACACACACACACACACACACCTTTTGTGCTGAAAGTTTGTTAAATGACCATTGATACTCGGGTGAAAATGAAGTGTGCACCCCTCATTTTCTCAATAGTGTGCATCCCACCACCACCACCACCACCACCACCCCCACTTTCTCAAAAAGCTGTATCCGCCCCCTGAACTTTTATCCTAAGTTGAATAAAATTCTGAGATTCAAATATTTAACTGGCAAGGTAACATTATGAAGAGTCGCAATCTAAATTTCACGTTATTTGATTTATTTTTTTGTTTAAAGTAAAATTCATCGATACGTTTTCACTGCAAACAGACTAGATGTGGTGTTCCAGTGAGGGACAGTGGTGCGCTATTTTTAGACTTGTACCAGATTTAGACAGAAAGTTCTCGAAGCTGCTACAGGGTACTACAACTCAGTTTGTTGTTGGAGAATCTGAATTAGACTGGATTGTTTATTATAATTAGGAAATACCGTGCGCAATATTGTGGAATGTGACTTTAAATACCAACCACTCAAACACTTAATAATATTGGGAAATGTTAGACAAATGCTTATTATGCTATGTACATTAATTCGACTAATTGGGCTAAAAGAGTAGGTTCTTTGATGTGACATTGTTGTAGATCTTGATACCAAGTTTACCCAATCGTTGCCAGTAGTAACAGTAATAGTCCGCTTGTATGGCGCTCATATCCAGGCACATTGCCTGCTTACGCACTATTTTCCGATACTTTTTTTCAACTCCCTGGGGATCATACAACCATGCTTGCCTGTTAGGCGCAATGAACTAAACACTCACATTGCTAGCACATCCTCACGGGTACCAATTTGACAGCTGGGTAAACTGAGACAATGTGGATCTGAGTATCTTGTCGAAGGTTACTACACAAATGTGCCCATCTCGGGACCCGAACCTAGGTGCCTCCACCGTGGATCGAACCCGGGCCTTCAGCGTGATAGGCAGACGCCTTACCACTGCACCATTGTGCCCCACTATCAATTACATGATATATAAAGTCGTTTTCTCCTAAAATAGTGGTAAAGTTATTGAGTGAGTGAGTATGGCTTTACGCCGCACCAGAAATCCCGGGTTCGATTCCCCCACATGGGTACAATGTGTGAAGCCCATTATTGGTGTCCCCCGCCGTTAAATTGCTGGAGTAATGCTAAAACTAAACTCACTGACCCGACCAAGAAGCAAGAATTAGCCCTAAAACGTCCTACAAAGAATAAAAAAGAAGTTATCCATAAAATGTGCACGTGTCATGTATTCATGTTCGTCCAACTTCTAAATACCTTTCAAAAACTACACACATGCTGCATTGGCAATTAAAGTTTATTCAAAGTTTAGATGTACACTGAATGTAAAACAGATGGTTAAACGAGGTTAGAATCAGTTTGTGAACCAAACGAAAACCATTAAGTACTGTAAAGTCACAGACCGTGACTAACATGGGATTCGATCCCCGGATAGTTGGGTCTAAACCCACAGTCCCACTTGTGACAGTTAGATCGTCATACGACTGATAACGTGCCCGTGGAAGATTCTGCAGTGCAATATTTAGGCGATATTATCCTAGCTTATTACCTACGAGGGCGAACATATCGGGATTCATATTTTTCATACGATGCCCTAGGGCAAAATATTGCTTTGTCATGGTGACGTGACGTCATGAACAATGCTATGACGTCACGTTTCTTCTGCGACGTTGCGTTCTACATGTGGCGACGGCGGGTAGACAGCCTATGTTTGAAAGTAGATTTGGGTTATTTTCCTCAATTTGACGACTTCGGTAATAAACAGAATATTATATTCGTGCCCATATCATACTATGTTTACGACACTCGTGCCTAAATATCGGTATATCCCTCGCTCTCGCTCGGGAAATACCAACATTTAGGCACTCGTGTCGTAAACATAGTATGACATGGGCACTCATATCATATCTTCTATGTAATACCACTAAACTTATGTCGTCAC